GAGCCAGGCTGAGGTGGTGGGGGGTGCCCACCAGGAAGTGGCCGGCGTCTGGGGGCAGCACAGAGGGACAGAGCCAAGTGACCTGCAGCGCCAGTGGCTCTGTGAACACAGCGGGCCCAGCCTGAGGCCATTATCTGACCACAAGAGCCATTCGGTTAGCATCGATTGGCTGGGAGAGGAGCATCTGGCCAGGCTGGGGCGGGGGTGCAGAGCCAGAATTGACCGCATGGCTGTCAGTCTCCAAGGCCCAGGAGCCCTGTGGACCTGCCGGGATCCATGGGGATGCCAGTCCGTCGGGCTGCTCCTGTGCAGGCGTGCAGAGGGGGAGCCCCTGTGGGGCCAGGTGGAATCAGACGTAGGTCAGCGGGAGGCCTGAGGTGCTGGGGTCAGAAAGGGCTGCAGCCCTCGGATGGGGCCACCGTGCCCTCCTAGCAGCATGGAGCGTCTGGAGTCGGGGGCTGTTGCATGAGACCGGCTCCACCGCCTGGCTCACCAGCTGCGAGGCCTTGGCCAGCCACGGCCTTCCGGGCTCCGTGTCCTCCGCCACGAAACGGCATCAGCCACGGGTGCTGTGAGGAGCCCCTGTAGAGAACCTGGCACAGGCTGAGGGCTGGGTCTTCCCTGTTTAGCTCCCTTCCTGCTGCCAGGAGCAGGGGAGGGGCAGGCCCCTGCCCTGCTGGCCATCCAGCCTGGACTGGAGGAGGAGCCCTGGGCTGGAGTCAGAGCTGGTCCCAGCCCAGCCGAGCTGGTGTGACAGCCTCTGTGGGAGACCTGGCTACTTAGAGGCTGAGAGAGGGCCAGGGTAAGATGGGGGCCTGCTCCCCACCCATCCCACCACATCCACCCCCCACGGGACCGTTCAGAAGCCCATCTTCGGGACGGGCTGCTGAGTGGACTGGGTGAGTCCATGCCCAGGCAGGGCCCCTCCAGCCCAACAGGGAAAGGGTTTGGGGGCTTTGCTGGCAGGAGAACCTGAAAGCAATGCCTGCATTCCATTCCTGCACAGCCTCTGTGACATGGGGCAGCAGGAGCCTTCCCTGATCTCCCCCCACGCCTCCCACACACCCCGAGGTGCCTATTGTAGGCCCAGCACCTGGCCAGACTGCCTGGTGTTATGAGACCCCCTATCCTCCAGTCCATGAGGACTCGCCCGGTTGGCCCAGGTCCCTCCCTGCCCTGGCATCCTGGGTGCTCAGGATGTATCTGGATGTACCTGGCAGTAAGTGTTGGATGGAGGAAGGAATGAATGAGGTAGCAGAGATCCAGGGAAGCTCAGATATGTGGGAGACCAGGAGGTTAGGGAGTAGCTGGCAAAGCAGTTAGTCAGGTGCATACCCCTAGAAGTGGAGAAGGAGGAGGAAGAGGAAGAAAAGGAGGAAGAGGAGGAGGAGGAGAAGGAGGAGGAGGAGAAGGAGGAGAAGGAGGAAGAGGAGAAGGAGGAGGAGAGGGAGGAGGAGGAGAAGGAAGAGAAGGAGGAGGAAGAGGAGGAGGAGGAGGAGGAGGGGGAGAGCACGAGGAAGGCCAGAGAGTGGGGGAGACACAGCCTTGGTTTTTTCAGCTCCCTCAAGCAAAGCAACCCCTGCCTTATCCGGAGGGGCCAGAGGAGGCTGATGGGAGGGGGTGCAGGCTCCTCCCTGGAGACTTGGATCCCTGCTAATTTGCAATCTTTTTTTTTTTTTTTTTTTTTTTTTTTTAAATATATTTTATTGATTTTGTACAGAGAGGAAGGGAGAGAGATAGAGAGTTAGAAACTCGATGAGAGAGAGTCATCGATCAGTTGCCTCTTGCACACCCCCTACTGGGGATATGCCCGCAACCAAGGTACATGCCCTTGACCGGAATCGAACCCGGGTCCCTTCAGTCCCCAAGCCGACGCTCTATCCATTGAGCTAAACCGGTCCCGGCATAATTTGCAATCTTAAAACGCTCAGCAGAGGCACCGGCCTCCTTGTTAGAGCAGTAATCAGCAATCAGTGGGCCGGGCTCCCATGGGCCTCGTGGAGGGGGCACAAGAGGCTCAGCCATGTAGTGCCAGCCTTCCTGGAGGAGCCTGGCAGGATGAGGACCGGGGCCGGAGCACGCCGGCTTGGGCAGGGGTGCTGGAGGCAGGTGCCAGGGCTGGCTGGGAGGGCTGGTCCAGGGCCTTGGCGTCGGGACCAGCTTCCGGAGTGGAGAAGCAGACTCAGCTGAGACCCACTCAGTGCCCAGGGGGAGGGGAAGCTTCCGGGGAACGGGCTCCCTGGCATCTGAGCAGTAATGAAGGACAGAGAGCAGCTCCAAGCATTGGCTGGGCTCCTCCCTCCTCCTGGGCCCCTCTCAGGAGGACAGGCAAGGCGGCTCCCTGCCCTGGTCCTGCCTTCCCCCTCCCCTTGTTATCTGACCCCCTCCTACTTGCCAAAGTGTGTTCATGTGCCCGCTGCTAAGCTACACCCAGACTTGGGGGCAGTTGGCTTTTACACCCAACCCGGGGGCCTTCACCTGGCATTCCCCTGGCTCCCCAACATTCCCTGGAGACACCTGTTTGAGGAAGGGGTGTTGCTTCTCTGGGGAACATTTCAGATAAACCCATCTCAGAACCTTAGAAAGACAGGGCCATAAAAGCAGGCAGAAGGGCTTTCGGAACACCCCTCCCCCCCTTCTTGGGGCAGGAAACCCCTCAGGGTAATCCTGAGGCCCAGAGAGGCTTGAGCAGAAGTACTTTGTCAACTCCATAAGCTGCACAAATGTCAGGTGGCATTAGCCTGCCCAAGCTCTCCCCGTCCCCATGGTGAGCAGCTTAAGGGAAGGAGCTGCCTTTGTCTTTGCAGAACCCTCCAGATGGGGTGGCTGGTACGGCCCCGTGTGTCTCCCAAGCACAGGCTCATGGCCACGGCCCTGCCCCCTCAGCACAGTGAGCACCGTGACCTCCCCTGAGCGAGGAGGGGCACGGGGCTCCTCCATGTGGCCGGGTGGGGGCTGCCCCCCGGGGCAAGGTCCCTGGAAGACGGCAGCCTGGGCGGGGGTGGTCATGGAGTTGAGCGAAGGGAAGGGGAGTGTCGGGCTCTGGAAAGTGCAGCCAATGTGGGTTGGGCCCTCCTCCCCGCCCTGGGTGTTGGAGGTTCAAGGCAGCAGGCAGGTTCTGCAGGAGTCAGCTGGCATCTGGGGTCCAGCTCCAGTGCCCTCACACTCCCATCTCTCCTGTGGGGCTGGGATCCCCGGGCCAGAACGAGGTGTGAAGTGGGGGGCTGGAAGCCAGACCCAAGCCTCCACATGGTTGGCATGGGGATCATTGACTCATGGTACAGAAGGGAAATGGGCAGAGGAGATGTGCCAGTCTCGGGCCTGGCCTACAGGTTGCAGGCTGCCCAGGCGTCCTGGTGACTGAAGGCACTGCCGGGCTGCAGAGAGCATGGCCTGACCCACAGCTGCATTGCCACCACCACCACTACCACCACCACCACCTAGGTCGTAATTGCTCTGAAGTCGTAACTGAACCCAATTATGCAAAAACCAAATTGTGTGCCATGATTTTTATGTGTTGGGAACTTACAGTGGAAGCCGGGTGATTACAGGGGGCTGGGAAGCAGCTGCCACCCTCTGGGAGACCGTAACTCCCAACAGCTGGGAGCTGTCACGTATTTACGACGCCATTTCTGCTGGAAACGAGGGGGGGGGGGGTTGGCGGTGGCGGAGAGGCGTGCCTGGGCCTGGGCAGGCCGTTGGGCAGAGGCAGGCCTGGGCACCGGCAGGGTGGCCAGCAGGAGGATGGGTGCAGGACAGGCTGGAGCGAGGCTGGAAGGGCTGGTTCTCTCGTTCTGCACACTCTGGGCATAGCTGGCAGCAGGGGGCAGCGGCAGAGCTGCCCCAGGCCCCCAGCTCTTCCGAGAGGCCAGGCTGGAAGAGGAGGGCAGGAGGCCAACCCGGGCAGCCAGGAGCCTGGTGCCTGTCCCCCCAACACCGGCGCGCCTGCCGGGCTGCCAGGGGCAGCTGCCACCCTGGAAAAAGGCAACTAATGACCATGGGCCATAATGAGGCAGCTCCCGTAATGAGCCCGGAGCTATTATCCGACCGCAGGCTGGACGCATCCAAAAATAAATTATTTTAAGGATCCATTAATGCATGCCTAATTAATGCCCAATTAGAGGGAAGCTACAGAGAAAACACTCCGGACAGTCTGGCGGCATGGTTTGGCCTACAAGCACAGGCTGGGAGTGAGAGTGAGGTGGGGAGAGAGGCGGAGCCAGGCGGGGACCTGAATGGCCGCAGCCTCTGTCTGGTCTGGCAGCTTCCTGGGCCCCCGGCCCAGCCGGCCCTGGTCCCTCCCCCAGGCCTCTGCACACCTGTGCCCTCTCCGTACCTCTTCACAGCTGTTCCTGTTGAGAAGTGAGGGGTGTCACTATTAGAGGATGAGGGAGGCTCTGTAAGCGAGACGTTTTCTGAAATCAACTCGGGTGTCCTGCATGCACGCTTCGCTTGTTTGGGGAAACAATTTAAATAAAGAGACTCCTCAGAACTCCATGCCATACATTTGCTCGGGAGGACAGGAGGCTGCCCCACTCTGTGTTCACACAGGTAATGGGAGGTTGACTGCTGTGTGACCCACCCTACCCCACCCCGAGGGCTGACAGACAGCCTGGGGAGGTGGGGCTAGGAGGCTGGGGCCGCGTTAGGGCTTGGGGGCGGGGCTCGGGAGGAGATGTGGGAATCAGAGAGCCTTCCTTCACATCCCAAGCTTACTGATCTCACAGCCCAGGCTGGGGAGAGAACCCCAGGAGAGATGGGGTGCCAGGATGTGGGGAGCAGTATCTAGCTGCAGATGGGGGGCTGGCTTGGGCCTGACCCCTGCCTTCCTGCCGGCAGGAGCCAGGCCCTCAGGGGGCCACCATCCCAGACAAGTGAGAGAGAGGCAGATTAGACGGAGTCCCAGCCTCCAAGGGGCGTCACGTGCCATCCAGTCCTCCCCTCCCCAACCACGAGACCGCCGCCCCTGACCTGCTGTGCTCTCCCCCCCCCCCCCCCAGGGTGCTGCGTGGAGCTGCTGCTGCTGCTGCTGGCCGGCGAGCTGCCCCTGGGCGGCGGCTGCCCGCGGGACTGCGTGTGCTACCCGGCGCCCATGACGGTCAGCTGCCAGGCACACAACTTCGCCGCCGTCCCCGCGGGCATCCCCGAGGACAGCGAGCGCGTCTTCCTGCAGAACAACCGCATCGCCGAGCTGCGGCCGGGCCACTTCAGCCCGGCCACCGTCACCCTGTGGATCTACTCCAACAACATCACCGCCATCGACCCGCGCACCTTCGAGGGCTTCGCGCACCTGGAGGAGCTGGACCTGGGCGACAACCGGCAGCTGCGGACGCTGGCGCCCGAGACGTTCCAGGGCCTGGCCAGGCTGCACGCGCTCTACCTCTACCGGTGCGGGCTCGGCGCCCTGCCCGCGCGCCTCTTCGGCGGCCTGCACAGCCTGCAGTACCTCTACCTGCAGGACAACCAGCTCGAGCACCTGCAGGACGACGTCTTCGCCGACCTGGTCAACCTGAGCCACCTGTTCCTGCACGGCAACCGGCTGCGGAGCCTGGGCCGCGACCCCTTCCGCGGGCTGGTGAACCTGGACCGGCTGCTGCTGCACGAGAACCGGCTGCAGTGGGTGCACCCCCGGGCCTTCCACGACCTCGGCCGGCTCACCACGCTCTTCCTCTTCAACAACAGCCTCTCCGAGCTGCAGGGCGACTGCCTGGCCCCGCTGGCCGCGCTGGAGTTCCTGCGCCTCAACGACAACGCCTGGCACTGCGGCTGCGGCGCGCGCTCGCTGTGGGCCTGGCTGCGGCGCTTCCGCGGCTCCAGCTCCGCGGTGCCCTGCGCCGCCCCGGAGCCGCTGCGGGGCCGCGATCTGAAGCTGCTGAGCGCCCAGGACTTCCGGAACTGCTCCGGGCCCGCGTCCCCGCACCAGATCAAGTCCCACACGCTCCCCACCACCGACAGGGCGGCGCGCAAGGAGCACCACCCGGCCCGCGGCGGCGCCAGGGACAAGAGCCACCCGCACGGCGGCTCCGGCTCCCGGACCGGCTCCCGGAAGCCAGGCAAGAACTGCACCAGCCACAGGAACCGCAACCAGGTCTCCAAGGGGACGCTGGAGCTGCAGGACTACGCCCCCGACTACCCGCACCAGTTCAGCTTCGACAGCATGCCCACCGCGCGGCCCAAGAGGAAGGGCAAATGCGCCCGCAGGACCCCCATGCGCGCCCCCAGCGGGGTGCAGCAGGCCTCCTCCGGCAGCTCCCTGGGGGCCTCCGTGCTGGCCTGGATCCTGGGGCTGGCGGCCACGCTGCGCTGAGGACCCCGGCCACCAGCTCCCAGCACTGCCACGTGTCCACCAAGAAACAGCGTGTCTTTTCTTTTCTTTTTTTTTTTTTATACCAGTGGAGGATCTGCTGGGTTTTTAGGCAGAGGCTGAGAAAGGCTTTGGATGCTGCCTGGGTCCTGCCTGGTGGATTAGAAACCCAAAGTGTACAGCCCCCAGCAGGAGGGGACGAGCACCCCTCGCCGGCTGCCCCAGCCAGCCCCCTCTGAGCAGCCAGGACAGCACCCATCCAGCGAGGCGGGGAGCACAGAGAGCATCCTCCTTCCTGAGCAGCCCGGGACCGCGCCCCACGGGAGCTGAGGAATCCCGGTGATTTGGAGATGTCTGAGGGGCCCCTTCCCTCCTCGGAGGAAGCGGGACTCAGAGGAACAGAAGATGGTCACCCAGTTGACCAGCTGGCCCGACTGGGAGCGTATGATCAGGTGTCATTTTGGCTTTTGCCTGAGGCCACTTAGTCACCCTGCCCTGGATCCCATGGTGCACCACCCTCAGGCCCTTCCCCGGAGTGACTCCTCTCATTCCCGATGTCTCAGGCAACCCTGGTCCCCCTGGCCCAGACCCCGGGCTCCACGAACCAGTTACCAAAGGCAAGATCGTCAGAGGCTGAAATTCAGGACTTCATCACGTGCAATGAGGTTCCCACAGGAGGTGCCGTTTTATAACTACGTCCACTTATATACATATATACACACGCACACTCTCTACATCTATATATATATATACACACACACACAAAGACACAGGTCCCTGCCCCACACCCTTACCAAACTGTATGTATGTCTTACCATGTTTATAAACTATATGGAAAACTATATCTGCTGAACTGAGAATTGTATTGGTGATTTCTAGCAAGGAAAAGAGTTTATAGGGTTTTTGTCTAGAATCCCAATCTCCAACAGCAGCCCTCGTGTAACCTGGGCTTGCCAGGGGCACGGGCAAACGGTCAGTGGGGAGGGTCGGAAAGAAGAGGAGGCAGCAAGCATCACTTCAGGGGACCAATATTCTTAGGTGTTTAGAGCATCACCTTGTTTTTTTATACGCAACACAGGCCATCTGCCGCCCAGAGCGCCATCGCGCGCCCCCCCCCCCCCCACAGTAACTGCTGGTGTCAGGGTGAGACGTGAGAAGCAGCTTGTGGGACATCAGGGAGCCGGGTCCGGGGGACAGGCTGCATGGAGAAGGGCAGCAGGGGCTCCGGGCTCCTCAGGCCACCGGGTGAAGCAGCCTCCTCAGTGTTCGTTCAGTCGGCAGAGCAGTGTCCGCAGCTTAGCCCAGCGTGTGGCCAGGGAGACTGTGAGCATGAGCCCAGGCCTCCAGCTGAGCTGCTGGGTTGGGGCTCTCTGATGGGGTCCCCGCAAGGACCCTGTGTAGGATGGCAGGACGGAAAGGACCCGGTGGCCTTAGCAGGAGGGGAACAGCGAGGGCATTTCGAGAACCATCTCAGGCACTGCTGCGCTGAGGGGGCCCTGTCCCTGCTGGTCCTTCCGAAGGTGCCGGGGGACGGGCTGAGGCCAGGGAGCCGGACTCGGGAGTCAGGGGCGGGGACTGGCAGTGAACACAGCGGGCAGCCCAGGCAGGGGACGGGGGCTCCGGCCAAGGTCGGCCGTGCTGCTTGCTGGCCGGGGCCTGGGCGGGCACGGCCTCCTTTGCGCTCTGCACAGACCTGCATTCCCCGCCGGAGAGGATGTGTCTGAGGAGCAAGAAACGCTAAGTCCAATTAGGAGAGAAAAATAACAATAAAACACTTTTTTTCTCTTGGACAAGAAGCCTGTTTCTCATTTCCTAAGCCCACATTCTTGCAGGGGCGCGGCTCCCAGCTTTCGGGGTGGGCGGGCCTGGCTGGGCCCCCGCTCTGAGGCGCAGCGTGTTTGTTGGCAGGAGGAGCTGTTCGGGGCAGGGACACGCTGACTCACTGGGGTGCATGAGCACATGCGTGTACACACACACACACACACACACACACACGGTTCTTCTCTTGCTGCACAGAACATGACTCATTCCCCACACTCTGGCCGCGCTGTCTCTGTGGCCGGCACCATCGCTGTGGCTTTCCCCGGAGCAGGCTGGCAGGATCCTTCCCGGACGTTGCCAAGGGCCTCACCCGCAGCGGCTGAGCTATTGATTCTTGGGGGGTGGGGGAGTGGCTGGAAAGGAACTGCCAGTTCCGGGGGCCACGCCAGACGGCGGTGAGAGTTCTCAGGGAGAGGGAGGAGGGCTGTGTGTGTGTGTTTTTAAGAGCCTCACCCAAGGATACGTGTTACTGATTTTATAGGGAGGGAAAGGTGGCGGGGAGAGGGGACTGAGCCCACATCCTAGGTATATGTCCTGACTGGGATTCGAACTGGTAACCTTTCGGCAGCCTTTCGACGTATGGGACGACCCTCCAACCAACTGAGCCGCACCGGCCGGGGCCGGGCTGTGCTTTCAAGTCTGGATAAACCCTCCTCCGTACAGGCCGGGAGTGGGCACTAAAGGGAGACCGCCCCGGCCAGAACAAATTGTCCTCGGCCTGTGGCTGCTCCCCGAAGGCCCGCCCGCCCGTATCCAGGCCTGTGCCAGAGCCGGCTGTCCCTTCGCACCCAGGGATGCTGTTGGGGTGTTGATTTCATTTCCAACTTTAGACAGCAAAGCCCTCAGCGGGAAAATCAAGAGTCCGAGTCCTTTATTAAATTTCTTTTAAAGACTCGGTAAGTCCCTGTAATATGGGAGGGAAGTGTCAGGATGAGAAATGCTAATGTCCTGTCGCTGATCTGCTTCTGTCAAGCGTACGCGCAGTCCTGGCTGCCGATGGTTATTGGGGGCAAGGCAGAGGGCCCAGGGTGCCGGGGGTGGTTAGCAGCTTCTCCAACAGGTGGGAGGGACGAAGCAGTTCCTCTGTGGATGACATCACGGTCACTGGGCAGGCTCCATGCTACCCAGTTACAGCCATGGCCCAAAACATCGGAGCAAGGGGACAGACCGGGGCTGAGGGGAGGCCCCTGCATTCACAGACCCAGCATCCCTCCCGGGTCCGTAGGGCTCCTGCCCCTGGACTTCTGTCCCTCCCAGGGGCAGGGGGCCACCCTGCCACCATCTTCGCTCAGCCCTTGCCCTAGGCCCTGGGATGAAGCCATCTCCTCCTCCTCCTCCCCCCTCCAGCCACACAGCCCTCCACTCTAAGGGGCGACATGCAGGAGGGGCTGGGTGGCCACTGGTGGTCTGAATCTCTCCACACAAGCTCCTCCCACCACCCCAGAGCCCTGCTGGCTCCCTCCTCTTCGTTTAATGGGTGCTGAGTACGGGCTGATGGGTGCCAGCCGTTGGTCCAGGCTCTGGGGACTACCAATGAGAATCCACGGCTCTCCTCCCAGGAGCTCAGGGCCCAGGCGTGGAAAGGAGTCTGGGATGGGTACAGCCCGTGTGGGATTGCTGCCTCGCTGAGTGCCTCGCCACTCCGCTCCCTGCAGTGAGCAGCTCACCTGGGGTGGAGGCAATCAGAGAGGGCTTCCAGGAGGAGGCGGCACTCTAGGGCTCTCAGAGGATGAGGTGGCCAGAGAAGCATGGGGCAGAGGGCTGGGGCCATGCAATAGCACCGCATTTGGGGTATCAGCACAGAGCGTGAGTTGAGGATGGAGAATGCTGTTTGGGGGGGTGCAGGAGGCGGGTCTGGCAAGGGGGGGCCTGGGAGCCTACAGAGGGCCTTGGACTCTACTCTGGAAGTGGAGGAGTGCCCCCCACTGAGGTCCTCTTTCCCTCCCCGCACCCCCGTCCTCTCCCAGCACATGGCTCCCGCCAGGGCCGTGCCTGCCAATGTTCAGCAGTGAGTTTCTCCACTGCAACTCGCCTCTTCTGCTCAGTCAGATGCGTTCCTCCTGCCAGCACGCCGGAGCGCTGCCTGGAAACCTGCCTGGGCCGGAGTCCCACCCCCAGACACCTGCTGCTTCTGAGCTCCAGGAGTGTCTCCCCCCCTCCCCCCGCATGTCACCCGCACTCCCTCCTCTCCCACCCTCAAGCTCAGCTCTCAGCCCTCAGCCCTCTGCCCTCAGCCCTCAGCCCTCTGCCCTTAGCCCTCAGCCCTCAGCCCTCTGCCCTCTGTCCTCAGCCCTCAGCCCTCAGCCCTCAGCCCTCTGCCCTTAGCCCTCAGCCCTCTGCCCTTAGCCCTCAGCCCTCTGCCCTTAGCCCTCAGCCCTCAGCTCTCAGCCCTCTGCCCTCTGCCCTCTGCCCTCTGCCCTCTGCCCTCAGCTCTCAGCCCTCTGCCCTTAGCCCTCAGCCCTCTGCCCTCTGCCCTCAGCCCTCAGCCCTCTGCCCTCAGCCCTCTGCCCTCTGCCCTCAGCCCTCTGCCCTCTGCCCTCAGCCCCCAGCCCTCAGCCCTCAGCCCTCTGCCCTCAGCCCTCAGCCCTCAGCCCTCTGCCCTCAGCCCTCTGCCCTCTGCCCTCAGCCCTCTGCCCTCTGCCCTCAGCCCCCAGCCCTCAGCCCTCAGCCCTCTGCCCTCAGCCCTCAGCCCTCTGCCCTCTGCCCTCAGCCCCCAGCCCTCAGCCCTCAGCCCTCTGCCCTCAGCCCTCTGCCCTCAGCCCTCTGCCCTCTGCCCTCTGCCCTCAGCCCTCTGCCCTCTGCCCTCAGCCCCCAGCCCTCAGCCCTCAGCCCTCTGCCCTCAGCCCTCTGCCCTCTGCCCTCTGCCCTCTGCCCTCTGCCCTCTGCCCTCAGCCCCCAGCCCTCAGCCCTCAGCCCTCTGCCCTCAGCCCTCTGCCCTCTGCCCTCTGCCCTTAGCCCTCAGCCCTCTGCCCTCTGCCCTCTGCCCTCAGCCCTCTGCCCTTAGCCCTCAGCCCTCTGCCCTCTGCCCTCTGCCCTCAGCCCTCTCCTTGCTTCCCCACCCCCCAGCCACCTTCCATGCACCTGCTCTGTCTGACTCTCAGCGACCCCCAAGCCTCCCAAACGGCGTCTCCCCTTTTCTCTCCTGGAGGCCGTCATTGCCAGGAGCCAGGGAGCCCATTTAGCAAATGTTCGCTCATCACCGAGCTAATCACTCCGCACAGCAGTGAACGGGGCTCCAGAGGCCGTTGGCAGGCTTCGGGGGCAGGAGGGCAGGAGGGCAGAAGGGCAGGGGGCTTCTCGGAGGACGAGCTGTGGGCCCTGCACCAGAGAGCGTTTCCCGAAGGCTCCCTGGAGCCGGCTGGGAGCCTCAGTAAACCCTTCCTGGTCCTGTCCCCACCCCCCAGGCTGTCCCCGTCCCTGCGACCCGGCTCCTCGGCTCCTCGGGTTCCTACGCGACGCTGGCCTGGGGGAGGCCAGCCCTTCTCTGTGCACATCCGCTGGTGGACCAGGGGCGAGTGTCCGGGTCCTGGCCAGCTTACTGTGAGGCCTCCTGACCGGCTGTGACCGCCTCTGGCGCCTCCGCCAGCCTGGCTCCCTGGCCTCGCCTTCCTCCCCGCAGCAGTGGAGCCTGTAAGCCATCACTCCACCCCCGTCACTGACAGCCCCCCATCACCGACACCCCCCCGTCACCGACACCCCCCCATCACTGACACCCCCCCGTCACCGACACCCCCCATCACCGACACACACACCCCCATCACCGACACACACACCCCCCATCACCGACACCCCCCCCCGTCACCGACACCCCCCCCCCGTCACCGACACCCCCCCATCACCGACACCCCCCCCCGGCACCGACACCCACCCCATCACCGAAACCCCCCCCGTCACCGACACCCCCCCCATCACCGACACCCCCCCCGTCACCGACAACACCCCCCCGTCACCGAACCCCACCCCCCCATCACCGAACCCCCCCCCCCATCACCGCACCCCCCCCCCCCATCATCAACGACAC